GCGAGAGCTTTCATGTTCAACACACTACTAAATGATGGACCGTCAATACAGAACACAGAATTATCCACTATAATTAATAGTGATTACCCCCAATCATATGAACTGTTACACCGGTTAGCAACTGTATTATCTGTTTAGACAAGAACTTGTTTTTCCAAGTCTCTCAGTGGTCACATGATGTGGAAAATCATTGCTTATTTATGGATCAGAGTCCAAACAAGAAGTGAGTGGCCTCGAAAAGCCTTACAATATTAACATATACAGTATACGGCTGTGCATGTGCTGGACAAAGATCACAAGAGTGAATTATTGAAACCGCCATAAGTACAGTGCACCCTGAAAACACTCTGCCAGATGACATCTCCGGATGAATCATCAGCCGAGCAATGAGAAACGTCAGTTAGGCAATGAGAAACTGTCTCTGCCATTGTTTACATATTGACTGGCACTGTGTGGTCGGCCCTGATGAGAACAACACACACAGCGCCCGATGGCATGATCTCACTTGGTGGAAAAAGAGCTGTCACTGGGAGCCTGGTAGGAGGGTGTGGCGTTGCAATCAATGAAGGTGGAGGGACTTAAACAGAAACAAAAACAGATCTATTATTGGTCCCAAGGCATGAAATCATGCATTAGCTAAGCTCTGAGGCAGTCCGTCCACTCTTTACTGCTCACCACCATTCCTGTGTGTATGTGAAGTGAACACTGTGGCCTGCAAGGTCTTTCAACACAGCTTTTCATAAAAGAGATCAGAGTGAAAGAGAATGAAGGATACAGAATTGTTCATCTGCCATCCATTTCTTATTCTAATGCAGCCATTAGGCTCTAAAAAGAGACTGCTCATCTATTCATTTTATGGGGAATTTGCAAAAAGAAGATGACACTGCAAGAGGGTTGGTCGGAGTGATTACAATTATTTGAATTAGCCCTTCAATCACCGCGTACGATTGTGTATGGAGTACACAGAAATGCACTCAAAATCATGGCTGGAAATCCTCGCTGTATACTGTATGAAAAGATTGATTCACTCATTTCTAGCTGAGTTTGTTCTGGGCGCGAGGAATTGATTGGTCAACACATTAAAAGCTTCATACACTCCATATACACGACATGAAAAGGCTTTTAGAAAAATATCCAATAACTCAGGACAGCTGATTGCTTAAAGCTCATCGTATTCACAGCGTTTACAACAGGTGCAGTAAACTCCAACAAAAGGCTGTAAACAGTAAATGGTTAACGGGAGAGAGGGAACTCTGGGGCACGTGTGGGTAAAGCAGAAGGCACTGAAAACTCAAATACTTCATAAATAAGCTAATAAAAGGGATATTGTGGTTGTTTTCATACAAAATCCCTTTATTTGAGCTAACCAATTCACAATGCTGTCAATCTGTAACTGACTTTTTTTCCATTTTAAGAAATGATATGGTTACAGAGCACACACAAATTAAATTAAATTAAATGCAGTAAAACTTATACAAAAAAATTCAAAAAGATTACAATGATAAATAGTGAAAGGGTGAAGAAAATGGTAAACATTCATTAAAAGGATATAATGAACAGATAATGGATAAATCAATCATTCTAATGTTAATTATTACTCCTTAGACTGTATGTTACCCATTTTTACCGTCAAAGAAATGATCTTGAATTCCAATTTTCATTTTATATATTTAATTTAAAAGATCTTTCCATTTACAGTTCATCAGGTTACCCCCTTATATTAAATTATTTGGGTTAGGGTTGAGTCAGAATGTCTTTGTCTGGTGTTTGTCTTAGTAGTCAGAGTAGGGTTTTTATTTAGAGAAATCCAAAAATGAGTTGACAATTCTCTTGTAAATATGAATATTTCCCAGAACCCACTTATATCTTTACAACATGAACCAAATCTATGATGACGTTTTGCCTTCTGCTCACCACACTCTCTCTCAAGTTCTCTCGGTCTATTGACATTACTGCTGTTGTACAGAATTACGTTATTTCTCACGCTTTTCACTAGAGTTCCCGGAAGAAAATAAAGTTTCAGTTCCAGTTCCAGAGTCTCTTTCTCTCTCCCACTCTCTCTTGTTCTCTTTATCTTGGTCTTTTTTTAGACCGGCTGGTAGTGCCTAAGATAGATGTCTTGTAAGCCACAATAACATTAAACAGAATTTCCATCCCTTATATAAACGTGCGTTCCCATTCATAAGAACGCTGAGAGGTGTCTGGCTCGTGAAGTCAGTCAGTCAGTGTTAACCCTTTCAGGTCGGCTGCTTAAGTTAATAAAATAGATACGCAGGATGTGTTTCTGCTGTTGCTCATCGCTGAAGTCTATCCTGTACCACGTCTAGTTTCTGCTTTTCTTCACCCGCTGTAAACACTTGTTTTTCACAGATCACGTTTTCGCAGCCTACTGTTATGTCACCTGACTGCCAGTGAGCATGCTGACTGTCTCATGTAACAAGGGAATGCTACTAGCAGTCTATTACACAAAAAGTGTCTTCTATAACTATTCAAACTTCATTTAAGAGGAATTGACAACATGATTTGAGTATTCGTGCAGCTTTGATGGATTCAGTTGCATTTCATTGAAGTTGTGGGTTTAGTGTGTTTTCAATTTTCTATAAATGAATGGAAAATTGCTACACTCATATAGTTTGCTATTGGTGTACTAGTGAGAGCGAGTCTTGTAATTCATCAGAATAAGAATATTTGATTCGAAATAATTCGATTTATTGATTTTATTTATCCCTGATGGTCTTGAGTCGTTAAATGTGTCAATAGTTGCTTTCTTTGTTAGGAATACAGTTCTAAAAGGGTCTGAAAAATATGTCAAATCTAGCAAAAACGTCCTAGCGATACTGTGTGTGTGTGTGGGTATGGGCGCGAAATAAAAACATGCAGCAAGTGCGAATTTGACTGGCAAAATAATTGATTGATGAGACTGATAATGGCCAATAAGCATCACAAGCAAATACATAGTGTGATCATCATTTGTTTTTTTAATTTAAATATCCAAACATCATGACTTTGGTAGAGTTTTACTAAAACAAACTTCTCTACATGAAAAAGACCCTAACCCTATATTCACAAGACTTCCCAATGACACATTACTTAAAGGAAACCTATCATGCTATATTTAAATGATATATTGTAGGGCCATACCTATATAAGGTATATTTATACGTTTCTGTTTTCAAAATACCAAACAGATCATGCATTTTAGCCATGCCTCATTTCGCTCTATGTGCCGTTTGCTGTCTACGGGTCTGATTCTGCTGACCACGCCCCCCTGCAGGAGAGGGGAGACATGCTCTGATCAGCTGCTGGGCTGTCAGAAGAGGGGGAGAAAAAGAGATCTCCGTGTTTTATTATATAGAGTCGTTATTCATTTGTTTTAAAGCTCAATAAATAACAAAGAAGACCTTTGACCGGCACTTTTCTAATTTTGTCCGGAAGATTTAAACTTTAACGGACATCTTGACCGGCGAAACAAACTGAAACTGAAACTCTGCCGCACGGTCCCCTCGTTCCTTGGAAGAGGCGGAGAGGTGGGTGTTTGTCATCTGCTGGTGGACTAACCGGAGAGAATTACAGTGCTTGCCTCGAGGGGGAGGGATTGCATTGCAGCGGGAGCAAACGCTTGCCTCGGGGAGGGAGAAAGAAAGCCACAGCGGAGAATAAACAGAAGGGTAACCATGGTAACCAAGTCTTCTTCACTGCTTTTGTGGCAGACTACAGCGCCACTTACAGGCCTGGCATATGTACTACAGCGTCTCCAGCGCGGTCGAACGGCAATGGCCGTGGCTGTCTCCTCCTGATTGGTGGAGTTGGCCCAATAGTCGTAGCGCCACCGTCCTGACGTCAGGACAGTGTTCAAATCTGGATCAGTTTTTATCAGATCCGTTGCAGCCCCTTTTTTAGAGATTTGGGTATGGAGGAAAATAGAGAGGGTTGTGTTTTCTGACACTTGGTGAGTTCCCTGGAACACCGGGGACACATATTCATGTACAAAAGTGCATTTTGCATGATAGGTCCCCTTTAAAGTAAAATCATATTGAAAGATCTTCTACTGACTTATCACCCAGACCAGAGTTATAATCAAAGTGCTTCTTTAATTAGCTAAACAACAGGGACAAAGTGTGTATCTAGTCAGCACATGCAGAAAATGGTGAGGCACATTACCTGCTTCAACACATAATCCCATCCCAGGATAATCTATTGGCCGAGGGGTTAACCAAAAAAATAACTCCTGTGAAAATAACCATCCTCGGCTGAGTGGTTTGGGAATGGAGCCCCACCCTGTTTACAACACTGAGAACAAAAACAAACTCCCTCCAAGGAGCCCGGGCAAATGCAAGTCACACACTGCAAGCATCACAGGCAAACAACAACAACGAGTGAGGATCTACTGGGAGAGCACGGCTATCAAACAACAAGGTGTGTGTCTCTGAGAGGCGGGAGAAAGTGTGTGAGGCAGGAAGAGGGAGGGAGAGAGAAAGGGAGAGTTGGAACTAATGCAATATCAATATACATCAGTGTTTCCCATACCATTGTCTTGGAGGGGCGCTGCGCCCCGCCAACGGAGCCCCGCGCCCCCCCTAAAAATCAGGTGTTTTAAAAAAAAAAAAAATTATAATTTCATTTTAAGTTGTGAGTTTAGTGTTTTTTTACCCCAAGACAAATATATATCCCAAGAACTTTACAATAAAGAAGTTAAAAATATATATATTTAAAGTCTCAAGGGAAGAGATGAACAAAGTCATGAACAGGGGCTGAAATAATGATACCACAAAAAGAGAAAGGTCATAAAAGTACATCGCATATGATGATACATTTGTTTAAAAAGGAGAAACAAACTATTGGTCAACTGAACTGATAAAAGTCCACATTAGAATTGGTGATTAACATAAGTTGGTGTAGTAAAACATTCCTAAACTTTGATTTGAGGAAGAGAAAAAGCGAGAATTGAAAGTGGAATTGAGCTGAAAACAAAGTAAAAAAACACCCCCCCCCCCACACACCTCCAGAGTCTCAGGTCAACTGAATCATCAGGAGTCGGGGAAGATACCGTCACCACCTTCCACGAATAGCTCGCGAAAACCACATCAGTGTGACTTCACCGTGGCAGAGCCGGCAGCTTGAGAACACTCTCGCTCAATATCCAGGGGGACTCTGAATGAAGAGGTAATGAATCTCAGTTAACAAGGCCATTATCAGTGAAGGAACTACATCATCAGGAGAGACTCCAAATCCTCCAGGCCCTTACACACACTGGCCTTTTATTGTCGCTATTAACTGCTCAGGTATAACAAAAAAAGAAGATAAAAGTATCACGCTTTTGATCTGGTGCTGTACATCACCACAGTAAACAATGAGGCTGTATGAGGGGACACGGAGCCCAATTAGCCATCTCTGCTGTCAAGTATTTAAACAGCGTGCCAAGATGATAGCAGTAACCTGCATACTTTCATCTGTGCTCCACACTCATCAGCATGCTAGCACCTCCGCTGCTGCACTGCATCCTGGGTAATTACCGCTTCCCAATTACCACCCAGCTTGGTAAATATATATCAAATAAACAAGCAACAAACCGTCAATTAGGAGCACCCTTTCATAATGGGGGGTCCGAAATGATGTTTTTTAGCACGTGCCGAAGAAGGCAGGAGCATTGCACTTCAAAGCGGAGTTGTAGCGGTACATCTCACCATAACAGTTTGTAAAATACTAATGTTTCTGAGGCAATTATTTTACGTGTCTAATAGACGAGAGCAACACATCCGGGTGCTTCCCCCCTGCGTCAGAGCCCCACTCCTTTTTGGGTGAAAACATTCGCTCTCATTTGACTGGCGGTAAATACAGATTCTGAGTTTTTTTTCGTCGTTCACAACCAAAAATGTTGAATATCATGCATTTTTGATCAACAAGGAGCCCAATTACGATGGTCAGACAGGCAAACAATTACATAATGTCATTGGAGATCGATGATTATTGTCGATTTGTGGTTAAATTGAAAGCTACGGAGGATCGATGTCTGTTCAGTCTGCCGGGAGACAAGTGTCAGGCAGCAGGCTAACATTTAAAGTAGTGTTTCTAACACTCAAAATGGGATTTCCTTGGCTTATTAGTGTTTTATAATTTAATCCCTCCCTTTCCGGGGGAGCACCATGGGACCTTATTTCGGAAAAAGTTATGCATTGAAGTCAATGGCGAGAGAAAGATTATCTTTCGATCCTGTTTGAATTGAGCCACGAATTACACATATGATGTTTGCCAATTTAAAAGATAATTTTGCAAGTAAAAAAAAAAAAAATGTGTCGTAAAACTGTGAAGTAACACTTTTTTTGGTGTGAAACCGCTCAATGAACTACATCTCCCGTCTCGCACCACACACCAAGCTGGCTGTCACGTTGGCACATTTCACTTTTTTCTTTCAGAATGAGGCGAAAAGTATTAAAAGAGGTGAAAATCACTCCAAGTTAATGGCCAATAAGGCATGTTGAGAGCTGTACATACACACAAGGGGAGTTAGTCGGTTCCGTAAGAGCCAGCATGCGGGACCGGGATTCTGGGATTTGTAGTCTTTCTAGTTGCATATTTTTCATAGTCTTATATTTCAACAGTTTTACGACAAAAATATGTGACTTTTTTGACATGCATGATTTTTTAAGATTGACAAACATCATATGTGTAATTCGTGGCACAATTCAAACGGGATCGAAAGATAATCTTTCTCTCACCATTGACTTCAATACATAATTTTTCCGAAAAAAGGTCCCATGGGGCGGAAGTAGATGGGCGGGACTTCGCCTCTCTATAGTGATGAGTGATGACGTGGTTTGGTAGGCCGACCAGGAAGTTAGCATCACAAGGGGGTGACGTGACAAAAAGCGAATGGTGGTAAACACACGTACAGTATGTCGCACTTTAAGGTCATAATCCACCATTATCAGTGGTTCAAGTGGAGTAGTAATGAATTTATGTTTGTTTTTCTGTGATGTTTTACCTTCAGATTAACATAGTAAACGTTAGACAGTGTGTGTGTTACTATGGAAACAGAATGTTGAGAGTAACTGTTTCCAACGGTTTATTTTTGTTGCGTTTTCAGCTGTGTTAACAAACCTTACAAACGTTGTAAAGATAAAAGTTTATGTTTATGATACTCTAATGTTTTATTGAGCAGGATAATCACTGTGCGATAGTACGTAAATATATAAGGTTACACTTCAAACAAACTACATCACGGTCACATGACTTCACCTCACCACCGCTAAGCTAAAGGTAGCTATTGTTCAGTATGATGATGTTTAGTTATCTCACTGAGTCACTCTTTAGCAACCACCATTGTTGAGACACATGGAAGCTTCAAATATTAAATCAGTGGGGTAATTCATGTCGGAGAACATAAGAAGAAACTGTTCAGCTTGTGTTAACCACAGACCTTATTTCAGGCTTTTAAAAAGAAACAAGTTCAAAGAAAAACATGCTAAATGCTAATTCATTTCCCAGTTTTAGGACTCATTCCTGCACCACTCTATTAGAGGTGTTTAAGTTGACAATGGGGCAAAATATACAACATGGAAACAGCCCTGCACCACAAAGACGAGTTCAAAAAGAAACATGGCCTTTTTTCTTCACAGACGAGTGAAGAGGGGACAGTAACATTGTTGAATTCAAAGGCGAGGAGAACAGCTGCAGAAACAGACTGTCAACAAAATTTGCATTGCTGCTCTCTCCTCATCTCCATTACTCTCTCCTGTCTCTCCTCGAGCCCACGGAGCTGCCGGCTTAGATCTGAGTACTCTGATGGCTTATCACATAGCGAGCAGCAGGCTAAGCCGGAGTGATGCGCCCAAAAGACATGATCAAAGCGCACCAACTTTTCCACCCGGCAATGATGATGGAAGAGCAGGCCTTGCCATGTTGTGTTTCTTATTAGGGCTGCGACTGCCAACTGAAAACACAGCCAAGGAGTCAAGGATGAGGCCCTTAAAGATGTGCTACCGTAACCTTACTCTGCATTACCCTGCTGCTGCAGTTAACAGGGTTTAAGTGGTAGTATGTGACATCTCCACATTAGTCAGTTTCAGTTTTGCTGCTTTCTTTCTCATGTTGATTTAACAAGAGCTGCAGTCGTAAGAAGGCTTTGGCTATTTCCTGCTTTTATTTCATATCAAAGGGAATGTGTTGGGGTTTTGGACTAACAAAACAAGACTTGGAGGAAATTAATGAATATGTTCTGACATTTTATTGACCAATAATAAAATGTCATAATCGCCATGTAACTCGATTATGAAAACAATAGCTACCTTTAACCTTTCATAGTATCTTAACCTATAACAAGCCATATTATTAAAGCTTTTAAGGATAGGTCTTAATATTAGAGCAATTTGGTCTAATTAAAGATTGTTACATTTCTTTCAGCAGTCTGTTACAAACAGATATATAATGTAATATAATATAATATATGGTGCCTCACAACTAAACCATAAAGAAGCCTGTACGAAAAAAAGCAAATGTTCACCTAAAAAAACCTGAAGGATCATAAACTATCTAACCGAATGAAAAGTGATTTCTGGCACTAAAAAAAGAAAAACGTTATAAAACACAACTCTGAAGTGATGCTTCTTCTAAACCAGGGGTGTCAAACTCAAGGCCCGGGGGCCAAATCCGGCCCGTGACTTCATTTTCTGTGGCCCCACAAGAGCTTGCAAAGAATATTATATGTTTATTATACGGTTACATGATGATTTACAGAAGCACGTTGCCCATAAACTACATGTCCCACAATGCATCTCAAATTAGACTTTTTTTCTTCTAAATATGCCTTTTTTCTCAGAATTTGACTATTTTTTTTTTTTAAATGTTACTTTTTTTTCAAAATGTCAGTTCTTTTTTTTGATTTCGACTTTTTTTCCAGAATTTGGCTTTTCTTTTTAAATCATTGTGACATTCTCACTGAAGAGACTTGCAATTATTTGCCCCAGACTTCTGCTTTCAGACGTAGTTAATTATGAAGTTATTACCCTATCTGATAATAATCCAATGCAGAGGCAATAATGTAATATAATACATTATTTTATATATATATTTATATATGTATTTTTATATAGTCTTAAAGTTACAACCGGCCCTTTGAGTGCAACCCTAATGCTGATGTGTCTTGCGATTAAATTTAGTTTGACACCCCTGTTCTAAACTCTCACAAGTCATTGCGTCTATATTAAACATCCCAGAAAGGTCACGTTTTAAAAATGGCTCAGGAATAGCCTAATTCCAAGGTAAACTGACATTTGCATTATTTTCTCTTCCCATGACAACATTTTTTATAGAAAACTGTAATGACGGACAACATTTTTTTATTGTTACTATTATTAGGATCTTCAATACTTGATCCGTGTACACTTTCAGGCCAAAAAGACAGGGACATCTTTTGTAAATGAGGATTTGTAGTTGTTTGAACTTTTGTAAATACTGTGAAGGTTTACACAGAAAGGAGGAATCACTGACACCTCGTCTCCCCTGGCAAAATAAACCAATCCACTTTAAGAGTAATAACAGCAACCTCTCAATGTAAACTTTCATCAAATTCTCTTAAATGTAAAAGCACATCATCCATCAGGTCCTGGGAGCCACATCATAAACACACACACACTTACAAACATAGAGAGCGGACAGCTGATAGAAACAGGTGCTCAGGTTTCGCCTGGCAGCTGAGCGCAGTTTGGAGCATATGGCTGAGCCCTGGATGTCTACAGGAAATGTTTGTATCTTACCTGTTTTAGTCCCAAAACAGACAAGTGTTGGGTGCTATTAAAGACGATCTGATGTTATGGTATTGCTTTCTAGAAGGCTCTAGTACTTACTCAATATGGGAACAGGGAATGGTGTGCATTTGGTAGCATAGAAAGGGGTTAAAGAAAGAAACAAAAGGGTGAGGGGTTGTAAAAGAAAGTTGAATAGGTTACACCACACCACACTGCAAAGCAAACTTCCCTTAATTATTCATCAATCTGTTCCAATACTTCAAAATAACAACACTTCTAAAACAAACTTAAACCAATGGATACAACTAAATATGCAGGATACTTCCATTAGGCCTGACATGATAATTAAGTTATCAAATTATGGTATACGATAATTATCCTTTTACGATACGTACTTATCGTGCGTATGGTCACGATCATTTATTCAATACTGATTTATTCTATGATGTATGGAAATGACCATGACAACTTTTACGTCAATGATTTATTTTGTACGATACATGGACCTGACGTGGATAATTTTTACGTTTGCAACATATTTTACCATATTGGAAATGACTTTGATATTTTTAACGATATTAGCTTATCGTAGAATATATGGACATGACCTCTTTCATTTTAACATGAACAACTTAGCCCACAATATATGGACATGACCATGATAACTTTTACGTTATGATTTATCGTACGATATATGGACGTGGATCATTTTTACGTTAACAACATATCTTACCATGTATGAAATTACTTCGCAAAACGTTACGTTATTGACTTGACGTTCAATATATGGACACGAAATGTATAGTTTTTACGTTAACGATCGTAAAATAATATGAAATTAGATCATTTTGACGTTATTGACTTATCGTGCGTGATGGACATGACGTTGAACATTTTTGCATAGTTATTATAATTTTATAAATGCCATAACCTTTTTTTAAATTGACAATATTTTTCCAGTCCAACAGTAGGTATCCTCACAAACCAAACTTAGATATTTTCCAACAATTGACACAATCTGTCTGCCATTGATGTACTGTATTCCTGATACACAACACCAGCAGTAAACACATTTTTGCAAACTAATTGTAGTTGCATGAGCAAGGAGGACCTTTGTTGTCAGCATCCGTCCCTTCACTACGAACAGATGACACTAGAAGATAGTTATTAATGGCTGCATGAGTTAATGGCCGTCCTGAGCATTTTACTGTCTCCATAGAGACTGAGGAGCTCACCTGTCCACTCTCTGACCAGAAGCCAAGCCGGTGCCCGAGACACACGCACCTTAACCCTGGAAATAATGTTCTACTTTCCTTTTGTTATCCCTTCCATTCAGTTAATACAGCTCTAATCAGCGTGCTGCAATCATATTCATATTGCGAGTAATCTTCCCCTTTGTCTGTTTTGCATGTTTGATTCACAATCAAACATGCAAAACTCACATGACAAATTCATTTACCAGAAAAATCCCTTTTATTCATCTGTCACTTGTCGTCTCGCTTTGTGCAAAAAGTGTCTCAAGCTGAACTGGTTCGAGGGCGTCTTGTATGCGAAATCAAATGAGGGGTGAAGCCGGAAAAATCAAATCTTAAAAAGAAACAGTAAGAAGCAAAAATGCAGAACCTTATTCCCACACTGGACCGAAAATAACTCTCCTTATCATTCAGCTGCAAGCGAGGGGTGCACAGTCAGTTTACTGCACAGGGTATTTCAATGTGTGTTCACAAATACTGAGCCGTCAGATGAAAGAGAGGGCCGCTCCACTCAGGGATGGGAGTCCTCGCGCTGAATGCATGAGCGACTGATTACTTTCTTACCAGTTGAACCTCGGCTCTACAAAAGAAGAGCCTGAAGTGGCAAAACTAGAAACAAGGGCTTTCCAAATAATACAAAATCCCAGATTGGTGCGTCAAGGATCTTTCATTGTTACGATGCATACAGCTGCTCTTCCTCAAATTTCAAGCATTTTTTTTTTTTTTGTACTTGCCCCCCTGCCAACTCAATGTATTCAGTTGTAGTAAGGAGCAGAGAAAAGTAGAAGCAAACACAGGGGAGAGGGGACAGTTTTTCCCAGCAGAATGTCAGTATGTAGCGGCTGTGTCTAACAACAGGCCGAGAAAAAAGTTGCAAAGAAAGTTCATCCTGTGTTTTAAAACCTGGGTCAGCATTTGCGAAGGTCCATTTCTGCATAAGTGAGCACACAAACCCCGGCGCCTGTTCAAATAGTGTGCAGCTCTCTCTCAGGCAGCTCATGACAACAGCCCAGCAGCAGCACTGTTTGATCTCCAATGTTTTCCTTAATCTGGGTTGTCAAGGTTCGCTTGTTGGAGGCTGTTTACTTTACTTCTCCTACAAAAAAGTGTTTTTTTTTTTTCCCCTCAGACAATGACTAATCCAAAGACCAAGAAGGAGGGGAGCCCTGCCAGCAATAGTTGTTAAAGCTGCAGTTTCCCTTTTGTAAAACAATTCACATGGTTCTAGTCCAGCTGCAGACTTAACTGTAAAAATAAATATTAGGGTAATTCTTGAGTGTGTAACGTTTACTCTAAATGGAAAATAATCTGCTTTAAAAAACATTTTTCCGTCCAATTCTGTCTTTACAAACTAACAAATCCACATGGATTAAATACACAAGATTTGTGTTTATATTCTGTATATACATTTAAAAGCAGCAGAGTAAAATTCATTATATTTCTAATTGTCTGAAATACACCTGTTTAGAAAATTGATCAAAAAGAAATTAGATATAAATATGTTATATATATGTTTATGTGCTTTTTTATGTATTTCTACAGGCTAATTATATTTCTAAGTACATTCCTTTTAGACAATGCATATTAGGATGACATAACGTAACACACTATATCAATAACAGATAATTGTTAATTTGACCAAAAAGTTACTATTTTTCAGAAGTGATAATAAAGTACTTAGCCTATTTATAGTTAATAAAAACTATTCACTTTAACCCACACTGGGACTGACTTGGCTGGCTAATAAACAGTTTACTTTTATAGCAGTACAGTTGAATAAAGCGTGTTAATTACTTAATGTTGAGTTTAAGTTGCCACAGTCATAACGTATTATTTAAATCCTTTGTATTAGTCTGATGACAAGTTGACTGTAAGTGGAATATCCGCTATTAAAAGTAGCACTGCACACACACACTGAAACACCAGCCTGTCACACCGCTGAAGCCGAACAGCGAAATAAACTTTGCCTGTTAGTTAAACTATATTACAGATATTAAAACTATTGTCTCGGGCAGTAGTAAAGCTTCCTCCGGTCTCTCGCAGTTTGGAAGACAGCTAACACGTGGGGGAAAAGCTCCCTCTTTGGTGTAACTCCAAAGAAATCACGGCACTCAAACTTCCCTTTCCCCCGTTCAAACTTAACAACTTTTAACAGGTAGCATTGTAATTATCACTTTTTTAACAAACTACGGTTATGAAGGTGCATTTCCCTCGGGGGGGGATTTCATAGCCTCAACTAAGTTGCAACTTTCCAAAAAGAGTAGAGGACACAACTCTCCAAAAACTACATTAAACAACACTACCAGGCAGCCCACATGCTATTAATACAGGTGTTTCTTTATTTCTTTATTGTAACAAATGTAGCAAAAAGCGAAACTCCGTGTGTGTGCGTTTGCATCAGCAGGTAGCTAAAGACACGATAAAGCAAATGTTAACAATAGGATAATAGTGAAACTTACCCGAAAGGCTTTTTTTTTTACAGCAGCTAACAGGCAGGGTACCGTTTCGCCAGTATGAGATAACGCGTGCAACAAATCAAACCGTAAACACCAACAATATCACTCCGCCCGCCTTTGGTCTGTTGGTGGCTGAGGTGGTGGTGCGGCGGAGGTGAGGAGGGAGGGGGGGGACTAACTAACTCACTAACTTAACTACAAGGAGAAAAGAGATATCATCTTACCGAGGGCGTCGAAGAAGAGCAACAAAATGTGGAGTTTCACACTCGCCGACTCGTTTCCCTCTGCCTCGTGCACAGAAAAGGCACTAGCTCCTCTGATTCTTAATGTTCATATCAGATTTTTTTTAACACGCCGAGCAAAGAAGGAGGAAAAAAAAGAAAAGAAGCAAGCATCGCGGATTTGGATGTTGTTGTTTTGATGTTCCAAGTCCGTGACGTCATATCCACCTGCTGTAAACAACGATCATTGCATCGCGGATCCTTCATAAGAAACATCACACAAGTACAATTCAGTAGCACTTAGTAGGTTCCTTTCTATGGGGAAATGTAATGATATGCATTAGTTTTAGCTCAAAGTGTGACAGGAGAGAGGGGGCTGTCAGAAAAGCTAAAATGTCTAAAGCTGACTAATTACAACTGAGGCAGAATGAACTTATTATTATTTCAAAAAATGTCTTATTTTTTTTATATCTGAGGATCATCATAACTGTTCCAACGCCTCACTGCAGAAACATGACATTATTTTAGATAATTACCAAAGATGTTTAAATCTCAAATGTGAGAAGTTTTAAACTATAATGGTTTTAAAAATGACAGTGTGTATAACTAGAGTGCAGTTTTATGATGTTGTCATTTGGCATGTGGGCCAATTCTTCATAATATGTTCAAGGTGGCATGCATCTTTTGCAACAAAGTAATTCAAAATCACTGCTTGACATTTTTGTTGTGGTTGAAAAGTTGTGTGCACTCCTAAATAGTCTTTCCTCAGCATGTCTGTCACAAGATGTGCAGAAAAACATTATGACAGTAATTAAAAACCTCTGTCACTTGGCCCTGAAGAGGAGAATTACCACGGGCCACTTCAACAGTCCAGTTAACAACTCATTGTAAAGCAACATTAATTTAACCTCAAGAGAAAATATTTTAAGTCCTTTTTTGTCCTTGGTCAAGGTCTTGAGGAGCACAGCTCATTTCGCTTTAAACGATATTCCATGTATCATCATGGCTACATCTGTAGTGCTGCTGCTGATCTCTCTCATAGAGACTGTTTGTGGGTAGAGAGCGCCACCCTCTGGCCGTGCACACACACAGGAACATAAATAGTTCAAAATAATGTGTTTTATACACATTGTACATACTTGTTTTTGTGTAGTACAACGTGCACATTTTTCTTAGCCCATAGTCTATATATTTGTTCAATTTTATTGTATTATTGCACATTTTTACTCAAATACATAATTTCTATTTTATTGTATTTGTATCTTCTTATTGCAAATGTGTACTTAACCTATTTGAATATGTATATATCATTTCTATTTTATTTTTATTGTATTATGTTCTTATTCTTTAAATGTATATAAATATTTTATTTACATTTATTTGTATTTTCTAATTTGAGATGTTTACATTTTATGTTTGTTTTGTTTCTACTCTTTTTATTTTCACATTGTGTGCATGCTGCTGTGACAAAAAGAACATCCCAAATTGAGATCAATAAAGTACATTTTATCTTATTTGTATGTATTTCTTTGTATTTCTTTTTAAATTCTGAAATGTAGTAACTGTCCTGAAACCTAATTTCCCTCGAGGACAAATAGAGAATTAATTATTGGCCGACACATCTCAGCTGAGACCTGTTATTATATTAATTTAATTCATTTATTTAGAACAGTTTAAAATACAAGCTGATAATCTCTCTGAAGCTTTAGGGGCCGGAACACTTAAAGGTAGGATAGGTAAGAATGGAGAAACCAGCTCGAGTGTGCTAGAATTTGAAAGTACACAACCGGAAAAAATCTGCCCCTTCCTTCAGACTTCCTTACAGAGCCCCTCCTCCAACACACACGAACGTGCACATGACCAATAAGGGCACGAGATAAGTTTGTGCACAGATGGAAGGCTGACAGGCAGGTAGGCCATCCAGTTATTTTAGCCGGGCCGGCTCAGATGATTGGTCGTGCTTTTTACAGCACTACGGCTTCCACAGATGACATTTTTTTATGTATTTATTGTCAAAGCATTTAATGTATTCATTGCTATCGGGATGTTAAGAGCATTCCATGGAATATAACAAAAAGTGTTTCTGAAGTGAATTACCTACCCCACCTTTAACAGAGCGTATTTGCAAAATATGTTACCAACACATCTAGAATTGGAGAAAGCTCATGTATTATACAGAAACATTTACAAGCTAAAAACACCAAACACTAACCAAATACCCCTAACTAATCTAACCCTAACATTAAAAGGTCGGAAAACATTAATGTATCAGTCTTAACATAAAACAGATAACATAATAAACACTGACACAGGAAAAGTGAAAATAATTGTACACTTTTAATGTGTGTTTAAAGCTATTTAGATTCAAATAAAAAAAAATAATGCTCTGAAACTTTTTTTAGCATCCTTTGGACCAATATGAGGAATCGTTTCAGAGTGGACAAGTTTCAGAGTAACAATCAGAGGGCTCGTTCCAACCGGCGAATGACATGGCTCGTTTCACCCAGCCAAAGAGGGCTCTTTTTAACCAATGGGCAATCTGAGGGGTCTTTCCTTTGGGCCAAAGGGAGGGCTCATTTCACCCTTTGGGCCAATCAGAAGACTTATCAGAGGGCTTGTTTCAACCAGTGTAAAAGAGGTCTTTCAACCGGCCAATCAGAATGCTTGTTTCACCATTTGGAACAATCAGACTGCTCTATTATTTAGGTCAATGAAATGGCTAATTTCAGAGGGCCAATCAGAGGGCTCATTTTAGAGGGCTAAACAGAGCTCCTCTCAACCTTCGGGCCAATCAGAGGGCTCGTTTTACCCTGAGGGCTCATCAAAGGGCTCTATCCTTTGAGTGGCAGGTCTGTACATAATGTGTCCATTTGTTGAAACTCATGTTGTTTTATTGTGTTTTTCTCCGCAGTGAATTCATGTTGACATGCTTCTTGAAATGTAATCTCTGATGGTATAACATCACTCCCATTATACTGATAACAGGATTTGCAGTTTTGCTGTGATTTGTATACTGAGCCCGTCTTTATAGGATTACTGCAGTTTTCAAAAGGTTGTAAACATGATTGTCTGGTGTAATTAATGAGAAAAACTCTCACACATGATCTTTGTAATTCTTCAGTGTCTCGATCTGCATGTCAATACTGGATCCACGAGCCCAGCAGCCAGTGTGTCTGCCTCTGAATGTATTATCCTGTTTGTCGGTGTGTTGTGTGGATTAAGGCCCTGACTGGATGGAGTGTAGTTACAAATTAATTGAGGATCACTATCAGTTACGTAACAGGCTCTCCACACACACGCGTGCACACAACAAAGTAATTAGCTTTCTGTTAATTAGGTAATTAAGCATCTGAATAGGAGCTCCTCTTGATTTCCAAAGGGGGAAGGATGGCTTTCATTCGGTGTTTTTCCCCTGCTGCTGGGGGCGAAACATTCAGACTGTAATGAAAGGGAGAAGCTGTGCACATAATGACCAATAAAGCACGTGAGTGAAAGGAGGACAGACTTAAAGGACAGGACACTTTGTTCAAAACATACTTTTTATAAGCATTATCCAGACAACAATGAAATTAAAAGATTGCACTAACTATTATTAAATAGGAAACATGTTTTTAAAGTTCATTACTTTTCAATAAATCATCTCTAAATGTTATTATATAATGTTATAATGTTATTGTATTGAGTATATAGATTTTATATCTTCATGGCCTACTGTATATTTTCTATTTTGAGATGTTTAAATTCTAGTATTGTTCTCTATTCTACTCTTTAATTTCTACTTATGTGCAATGCCTTGTTTTGTTTTGTTGTTTTTTATGCTGCTGCAACGCAAACATTTCCCAAATTGGGATCAATAAAGTACCTCTTATCCTTACCTTATATTTATTATCATTATAAATAACGTTTCAATAAGAACATGAAAATGTACTCAAAGGATAAATGCAGTATATTATTTATATTGGCTGAATTGAAGTGGAAAAGTTGTGCCGTTGCAGAAGTTTAAAGGAAACCTATCATGCTATATTTAAATGATTTATTGTAGGGCCATACCTATATAAGGTATATTTATACGTTTCTGTTTTCAAAATACCAAACAGATCATGCATTTTAGCCATGCCTCATTTCGCTCTATGTGCTGTTTGCTGTCTACGGGTCTGATTCTGCTGACCACGCCCCCCTGCAGGAGAGGGGAGCCGTGCTCTGATCAGCTGCTGGGCTGTCAGAAGAGGGGGAGAAAAAGAGATCTCCGTGTTTTATTATATAGAGTCGTTATTCATTTGTTTTAAAGCTCAATAAATGACAAAGAAGACCTTTGACCGGCACTTTTCTAATTTTGTCCGGAAGATTTAAACTTTGACCGGCGAAACAAACTGAAACTGAAACTCTGCCGCACGGTCCCCTCGTTCCTTGGAAGAGGCGGAGAGGTGGGTGTTTGTCATCTGCTGGTGGACTAACCGGAGAGAATTACAGTGCTTGCCTCGACGGGGAGGGATTGCATTGCAGCGGGAGCAAACGCTTGCCTCGGGGAGGGAGAAAGAAAGCCACAGCAGAGAATAAACAGAAGGGTAACCATGGTAACCAAGTCTTCTTCACTGCTTTTGTGGCAGACTACAGCGCCACTTACAGGCCTGGCATATGTACTACAGGGTCTCCAGCGCTTTCGAACGGCAATGGCCGTGGCTGTCTCCTCCTGATTGGTGGAGTTGGCCCAATAGCCGTAGCGCCACCGTCCTGACGTCAGAACAGTGTTCAAATCTGGATCAGTTTTTATCAGATCCGTTGCAGCCCCTTTTTTAGAGATTTGGGTATGGAGGAAAATAGAGAGGGTTGTGTTTTCTGACACTTGGTGAGTTCCCTGGAACACCGGGGACACATATTCATGTATAAAAGACGTACAAAAGTGCATTTTGCATGATAGGTCCCCTTTAAGTAAATACCGACACAGGTCACAAACTTCCTTTGTTTAATTTATTATGCGGGTGATAAATTATGACAATATCTAGATTCAAGCTGAATAACTGTTCTGGTTTGACAGCATCATGATAGTATAACTGTCTTTATAAAACACATTCCCAAGAATCAAGTGTCCTTGCAAATGAAGCTTAACTTGTAATGTAGGATTTGCGTTTGAAATGCAGCACAAAGGTCAGGTGTCAGAGTAGATCACAGAGCAACAGGAGCGTTTCTCTAAAGATCAAGAGGATTTTCTGCTGCGGGGATCAGCTGCTCTTTCCCCTTCAGACATTACAGAAATGTTTCTGAACGGCCGGCCTGTGGACGCTTATGATGTCTGACCGTGGATTTGTTTCCATGATAAGTGCGCTTCTGGTTTATACCAACCTTTTCTTAACCATTAAATGGTCTGATAAAGTGCAGCTCGGTGTGGGCACGGTGAGCTCAGAGAGGAGGTGGATGCCTTTTATAACTACAGGGGAGAGAGACACTTTAATGTCTCACCATCTCACCACTGAAGACATTCACATTGCATATTTCTGACATTGTTGTAACATGTTTAACCCTCCTATTGTCTTCGTTTTCCCCCTTACTTTGGTGAGGTCCTGCTTTAACTGCTATTACATTAACACAAAAACCATTAATCATCACCAAATTTCATTTAACACCCTTTCAAAATGTAAATATTGTATCAGACTACTGGTATACATGAACAACTGCAGTAAATGTAAAAAGAATAGACACTGAACATGTATTGCGTGTGCCAGGTGTGATCCATGTGGGGGGATGGGCACATACGGGGGGGGGGAACACATCTAGAGTGTGTGTATGTGCGTGTGTGTGTGTGTGTGTGTGTGAGTGTGTTTTATCTGATCCGGATGGTTACTAATTCCTTTTCTTTATGGCGGGAACACCATGGGTGATACAAAGTTGACTAAATCATCCAAAATTCAATGAAAGTAGTGATCAGCAATTGCATATGTTCAAATGTCTACTGGATATCATAAAGCCTTAATGCAATCAAATGTAAAACAAAAAAGTTATGATTGATGAAAGTAGTAAATCGGTCAGATTTGACCCGAAGACAACAGGAGGGTTAATGGTCAACATATTGTATTAGTGCTGTGGCTTTATTTAGAGATTCTACTTTGGAAAATAACAAAATAACTGTTGGGTTTTTTATTTTTTATTATTTGCTTTGAATCAACCCCTATAATGTATATATATTATTCTATATTCATATGTATCTCCCTCATAGATGTAAATATAATGATGAATGCAATAAACTGTGCTCCACTGTCGGACACAACGTTTAAATAAATATTATGTAATATATTTTACCCTTATATTTATCAGTATTCAATATTTTATAGTTAAAAAAAAAACTTTTGGCACTCATCGATGACATGGTCTAGAAATATAGTGGACCAATCAAACGGTAGGCTACAATCAAATTAACACATTTTGACTGAAACTGATTTCATATTTAAATATGTAACGTTAATGTGACTCATCAGGCTTTATCTCAAAATGTAAAGTGGCCCTATTGTACTCATTTTCAGACAAACACACTACAGGAAAGGGAAAACCCAAATAAGCATAATAGTTAAGTCCTTTGAAGACCTTAAAGTAAAAATGTTAAATATTTCTGTCCTCTTTTTTGTGGCGCTTGTGCAATAAGCAGTGATTTAAGGCTCTTACTGTATATGACATTAACTCACGTCCACATGTTGATAGTACTTTAAAAGAAGAAACGGGCACGATATGAATTGTGTTTTTCATTTTAATTTTATTTACTTTGCTCATGTCACTGCAAAAATCATGTTTACAAAGGAAATACTGTCCCCTTATACAGTAACTAACGCATCGACCAGTCTACAGTTTGACAACACAGTAAGAGTGGTGAGACACACAATGACAGCAGAAGCATTCAGTTCACTGCAGCCTGCACTGCACTAGTAGAAGAGTTAGTAAAGGGAACGGATAGAAAAATAAGTTTGATGCTCCTTAACATGAACACGATCAAATACATGAGGTCAGTGTTTCTTCTGGTTCTTTGAAGCAGCAGTTGACTCAATGACTATTGAAACTTACCATATTTTAGACAGAATTTAACATAATGTACATATCCTGCTAAATATGAGGATACTTCATGTTACTTGAGCAAACAATGCTGCATTTCTCTCAGCAAGTACAGACAAGCGTCACTATTTGAGCTTAAAAAATGTGCAGTATCTCTTTCGGGGGTAATTCGCTAAACAATCCGTGACCCCTTTCATGAGAGCGCAGGGTCTACTTTTCAACACGTGTATTGAAAGAAATGTCAAACGTGGCGTGGCTGAGGACATTCAAAGAGGCACCTTTCAGGATGGGTTTTGCTCTTTAGATAAATCTGAGTTTCTTCGGGGGGCGATATCAGATGTGTTCTGATCCTCTGTGAAGGCTTAGTAACTGAGGGACACTGGGATTGGAATAGGTAGTCATGTGCAATACTTCCAAGAGTTACCCTGATTTTAAATTTGATGTATGAAAGTTTCAAACGATCAAATGGGGACAAACTCGATGAAACACCATTAAGATACAAACTACTTACATTTGTAAAAAGTGCTGTGGCACTGGCTAAGTTGACTAAATATGATATGAACTGAGATGTCTTATGTAATAAACAGATAAAACTCATTATGTAGAGCCATGCTCATCTGGTAAAAATATACTTTAAAATATTGTAAAAATACTAAGTATGTATCTCTTACTTCTATAGAGTGGTGCAGCGATGATGTGTGTGTGTATGCTAGCACTGAAGTTAGCATCAGAAGGGCTTCCTCGACTAAAAGCAATGGGATTTCTTGTAAAATTGCAAATAATACGCTTTTTTTCGCCAAACATGTTTATGATACGTACATGTTTTTTTCAGCAGGATAATCTCCATATATTAAAATAACATTAATTAATTTTGAAGCGTAAATGCCATCAGCAGAAATAAAAAGCTAACGTTAGTCTAGCCACAGACATAACGATCACATGGCTGCGCATCACCACCGCTAAGCTAAAGGTGGCTAAAAGTGTATTTAGAGACTAAGGGCACTGGAAGTGGTAAACTGCCTGGTCTTGCACCACTCTACACCAGGGATAAACTGTGAGGTCTATATGCCGTGCAGAGAACAGGACCATGACAGTGCAGTTCAGGAGGAAATCAGAATGAACTAACAAGTTATTACGCTGGATAAACAGTCTCTAAAGAGTTCAGATGTTAGGACCCACATCAACATGAAACAAGGCATCAGTCATTAAAAGTTATAAAAATATATTGATAACTATTTCCTTGTTGAATGCAAAAGAATACCCTTGATTAGGTTGTGAACAGTGCCTTTACACTAAGGCAGGTACAGAGTTCAGGTGAAAATAAAAAAAAGTGCGTTACATTCGTTCAATGTCTTGATCGTCCTCCTTCAAAGGCATGATGGTCCATGTGAGCTGAAAGTCAAAGGGATTCACGGTGAGTATGAACATGTATTTTCACATGCAGGAGACTTTGTTTAAAGCAGGGGTGGGGAACCTTTTTCCTCTCAAGGGCCATTTCAATGTTTACAAAATCCTACGAGGGCCGTGCAAATGATTGAACTTAACCTCTGCTAAAAAAAACTAAAATCACAGCCCATTCATTTCGCCTTTCTTTCATGCTGTGCAAAGAAAAAGCAACCTCTTAATCCAGATATCTTTCTGTTTTATTTTCAATGTTTTTGTTATGCTTTGGAGAGAGTGTGTAAAAGGCGTAAGGACCAAACTGCAGACTCTCATAGCAGGTACCTTATGAACCCTAATGAAAACTTAAATGCAACAAACTGGACAAACTGCACAATGAGTGAACACAACAGAAACTAACACAGCAAAACCAGGTGAACATCACAGACGAATCTGACATCAAGTCTTTAAAAGGAAGACCATTTTTTAAAAGAAAAAAGTAATATTATGTTAGCCCTGAGAGAATTATAATTCTGGTGACCCAAGTCTAATCTGAATAGTTTTCTCTGTGTGTACAGTACGACTTAAGAAGGGGTGAAATAAAAAGGTTTTACCAGGATAATCTCTCTTTATCTTCTTCCTTCAGCTACTTTTTGTCAAACACTTCTCTAAGTTTTCAATACACTCTAAATATAAAATACATTACATATTGTGTGTTTGCAGAAATCTAACTTATAGTAACATGTACGTTTCTGAAAACGATTAAGAATAGGATATAACGGGTCCTCTTGTGGTCAAAGAGAGAATTACAACACCAAACACTTTTCGTCCCACCTGTTTTACTGTTGAAAATAAAAACAGTGAAGGAGCTTTAAGACAATCTTGAGTTGTTTTTTTCTCATAAAAAAATAAGGAACTTTGGGATTTTAGCCTTTGCAGACCATTTACATGCACTAAAACCTATATAACACCCCATAGTAGGGCCTCTTTAAAGGTGGGGTAGGTAATTTTGGAGAAACCAGCTCGAGTGCGCTAGAATTTGAAAATACACAGCCGGAGAAAATCTGCCACTTCCTTACAGAGCCCCTCCTCCAACACACACGAACGTGCACATGACCAATGAGGGCACGAGATAAGTTTGTGCACAGATGGAAGGCTGACAGGCAGGTAGGCCATCCAGTTATTTTAGCCGGGCCGGCTAAAATGATTGGTCGTACTTTTTACAGTACTACGGCTTCCACAGATGACATTTTTTTATGGATTTTTTGTCAAAGCACTTAAGATATTCATTGCTATCGGGATGTTAAGAGCATTCCATGGAATATAACAAAAAGTGTATCTCGAGCCGGTTTCTCAAACTTACCTACCCCACCTTTAAAGACAGGAGAGGCTCGGGTAACCAGATTTTCTTTTTCACTTGCCTATCAGCACATTCATAGTTTAAAAGACTAGTATTATGGTCTTAAATAACATGCTCTGCTTGTGTAGCAGTTGCAGTTAATTCTAATAATTGTACAGCTCATTATACATTTGGGATTATGTATTTGACATGTAGTGACAGGACTATGTGCATCTGCTATGTGGAGCAGGTATGAAAGCATACATTAGGGGGCATTTCTCTGCAACATCAATACATTCCTGGTTAGCCTACAGCTATGATCGCTCCTTAAATCATCCTCTGGCGTGCTTGCATAAGAATCTCCTGCAAACGTGCATAATTCATTCCAGAGCACCGTTAAAAAATGTTCTGCAGTCTGACTTGACTGATGTTAGTTTCTGACAAGAGCAATTTTAAAGTGTAAGCTCCGTTGCTAAATCTAAATGCTGCGTTACATGCAAGGGGGAAAAAAGGGGTATACTTACGCTTATAAAAAACAGCTTTAAAAGGAATGTACGGGAGGAGCTCATAGACTTTCCCCAAGATATTTGCTTCGTCAGCAAGAGATGCGTCGCTATTCCAGATCTGTACAATATCTTCCCGGTCCCGAACGCTAACACTGACACCGACAACTTCATCGTCTGGAGAAGAAAAAGGAGGGAAACAGATAAATATTCATCAATGCTATGCTGGGGGAAAAGCACATCTGTTTTCATTCTGATGAAGTAGCTCACCTGAGGCACAGTAATCTGCAAACTGCTCCCCGATAGTAGCAAGTAACAACTCTTTCCAAACTGCAGACTGGAGCAAGAAGAAGTAACAGAAGAGTTTATTCATAATTCAGCCATTTTTTATGATATGATTTGATGTGTAGATAAACAAAGACACCTACTGTGCTTTCTTTTGGTACTTTCATCTTCCATACTCCTCCTTTTGCGTTGCTTTCTTCTTCCCTGTTGGTATAAAATATGTAAATACTTAATTAATAAATGTTTTACTTTATTCAAAAGTTATTTCATTTCAAGAATTGTAGAAGCAGAAACAAAACTTTTAATGTAACTTGAAGCACTAATATTGACTATTTAACATGTCTAACTGATGATCAAAATAATTAAATTATTAATCAGACTAATACAAATGTAATGATTACAAAATATAGCAATGTAATCCTTAATGTCATACTTCAAATATACTTTAAATCCCTTTATATATATTTCAGTGGGTGTTGTGTTTATATTTTTTAATATATGTTTAAATCCAGAGGTGGGAGAAGTACTCCGATCTTGTACTTGAGTAAAAGTAGAAGTACCAGAGTGTAGGAATACTCTGTTACAGTAAAAGTCCTGCATTCAAAATGTTCCTCAAGTTAAAGTACTATCATCAAAATATAGTTAAAGTAGCGACAGTAAAAGTAGTCATTGTGCAGATTGGTCCATTTCAGAATAATATATATGATATGTTTTATAATGATTGATCATGAAAGTGTTCTCAAAGCTGGTAAAGGTGCAGCTAGTTTGAATGACTTTGTATACTGCAGGGTAGCTTGTGAATTTACTCCAGGTGGAACTAAAGTCTGATTTAACACTTGGTTATATTTCACATCATTCATCCACATCTGTAAAGTAACTAAAGGTATTAAATAAGTGTAGTAGAGTAAAATCACACCATTTACCTCAGAATTGTAGTGGAGTAGAATTACAAAGTAGCATAACATTGTACTTAAGGACAGTTCTTGAGTAAATGTACTTTGTTACTTACCACCACTGTGTGTAACTGAAGGAACATTTTGTAACAGATTTGAAATGATTACATGACAGTGAGTGCCTGAGCTTGGACTCTGTCCTGTGCTCCTGCTGCTGTTAGGGAATAAACTCTAATATTGACAGTGATAATAGACGCACCACAGAGGCCTCCGCTCTCCACGCATTAAGTGATAGCTGCACCTCAGAGGCAGGGCCGTGGCTGGAGGGATGTTGTTGTACACGCTCCAGAACAACTGCAGGGAGAAAAACATGGAGAGAAGAGATCTGTTTTCCTTTCTTAAAGCTCACAGATAAGTTATTGGTGTAACAGTAGAGCAGGGTGTCCACACTTTTTTCACTGAGGGCCACATACAGAAAAATATACGAAGGGCTTGGCCACTCACTAGAGGTGAGGTTTATTGCCTCATAAGTTCAGTTATAAGTTAGCAAAATCGATCAAATGTGGGTAAAATATTCTTAATACTTGAAAATGCTTTAAGAAAAAGCTCACAGCTCTCCAGAGGGTTTCATTTATTGTGTTAGCAGCTCATTCATTAAAACAGAAGCCTCAGATATCTATAATAAGTGGAAATATGAAGGGTATATTTCAAGCTTGTAAATAAGTTATTGGGCTTTTTTCTTTTCAACTTTAAAAACTGCGCTTACTAACACATGAATACTGTGTAATATATTTGTAAGTATTTATTTACAAAGTACAATATAATACAAGCACAAGTTTAATTTGTGGAGCATATTCCATTATACTTTTTGAATTGGCTGAGGGCCGATTCAAAATGGCCCCTGGGCCGTAGTTTGGACACCCCTGCAGTAGAGGAATACTATGTACAGGTGTCAGGACAATGCCAATCAAGCCAACTCCAGGATAGCCCCCATGCTAAGAGGCTAAGCATTTCACAAGTTGTGCTTTCACACATCAAATCAAACAGAGGATTTAGTTTGATAGTGTAACTTCCAGGTTTTTGTTATGGTATGCTTCCCTATTACCATAACATACTGGACTATCACTGCTTTCAGGAGAAGACCTGTAAAAAGGGTTTGGATTTTAACTTTAATGTCTCACACACACATTTATATTCATATATACACATATCATCTTTTCTCCACCCATGCCTATTTGCAGCACTTTGAGAAACCATGGCTACCGTTGGAGGAGTCACAGATGACGGAAGATGTCAAAGAAATAACAAAACCTTCCTCTGTAATGTTTGGTTCTGCAACATTTTGCCTTTTCCCGTTAAAATATCAACAAAAAAAACTGTTGAAAGAAAAACTCAAGATAGGGTTTTTCGGCTTTTTGCAGGTGGGGAAACTAAATATGTTGTTCTTTATTGTAAATGGACTGTATTTTTTAAAGCGGTTTTCCCCTTCAAGTGCTTTTTCATATACAAGTCAGCATTCACACACATTCACACAGAGGCTAAAGCTGCCATACAAGGTGCCAGCTGCTCAGAGAGACTAACAGTCACACACTGCTAGCCAAGAAATCTGAAACATTTGTGGTTCCTTGTTCCTTTCCCAAGGACACTTGGACGTGTTGACAACAGGGTAAAGGGATTGAACCAGGAAACTGGAGGAAACTGAATGTGTTATTTTAGAGAACCCTTCTGCCATCTAGTGGCCCTGCTGTTTGTTTCTGTGTGTAACAATTCGGGCCAAATCTGAAATTGGTTATTGTTATTACATTAGATTCATATATTTGACCCCATGGCATTGTGAGATACATTCCCAAATAAATAAGGTTGTTATGTTAAACCTGAAGAATATATAATAAGTCAACTGGTACCAATACCTTTTTGTTTTGTGGAGAAATGAATGCTAAAACCCACACAATTATTGAGCGGTGTTTGTTCTGTGTTTAGTCCCTGGTTTCTTTTTTTGGACTGCTTGCTTACAGCTGCTATATTTAGTTTTACAACACTGCACATGCTGAAAGTCCCAATACAAAATAAATAAAGCACTGACTTCCCCTTAACAACATACAAGCCATCAAAGCACCACAACAAAAGGTAGTATGGCTAAAGTGTAAGAAGAGCCACAAATCAAAGGCATCTGAATTGACAGATGATGATATGTTAATCAACAGGGTTTTCACACATTTGCAACCGAAAATAGTTCGAGACGGGGGGGGGGAATTTCAATTAGAAAAGCTGATATATTGGTATGTTTTATGACGTCAATAAACCTACGTGTTCAAGTTTCAAGATAAGAAATGTTGTCGTTTCTCCTAACACTTAAAGTGCAAGTGGACCGTACTTCCCGTCCATCAATGAAGCTTTCTCCTCAAGCTAATGTGATCCTGGCCGAGTCGTGATGCACAACCTCTTTCCTCTGAGGATGACTCAGCTCTTTACACTGCGGGCCAGATCTCACCTGAACGGTTTGCACGGTGTAGATCTTCTTCAGATTGGATTCACATTGAGCAGCCGTCGCGCCCGGTAATGACCTGAGAGAACAAGTGGAAACAGTTTTAGACCATGGTGAGGATTCACTGATTTATCAAGGAAAAAGGAACCAGCTGATAACACAAAAAGCAGGCTCAGGGTTCATGTTTACTTTTTGCCTTATGTTTTTTGGTCAGATGATTGATGTTATCTATGTGTGTCAACTTTAAAACAGAGGGTTCAGTTTAGTTTTAGTGATCATCTCCATGGAGTATATTTACATGCCTCTATAGGCTGTACGGTGCATATGGAGATCATAAAAACAACATGTTCTTTCCATGCTAAAAGCTACCCCAAAGGCCCCTGAACGTCAGCTTTTTAGAGCAAGAGGATCCACATTTTTACCTTGAATTTTCTCATTTTGACATAAGCCAAACATCTTTAGGGATTACAGAATCTAAATTCCTATCCTAAAAAAAGGTAGACACAAATGTACCTAAACAACAACAATCTAACACGCATAGAGGCTACTACAGTGGACAGCTTTTCAAAAGGTGTTTTCTTGTATATACATGGTTGCACCATCAGCCACTACATAGGACCCTATTGCATCATCCCATACACTGCCACTCAGTGGAAAGTCAGTGTAAGTGCATGATACATTTCTCTAAACCAAGATGGACGACAGAAAGCCAGATGGACGGAGGCCGTTTCTCAATGTCGAATAAACCTGCTGCAGAGCCACTAGTTCAAGTATACTACGTCATTGAGTGGCGCCGAAGGACTGTTTAAATGCATGTTAAATGCCCAGCATTCGGCGCCACTAGATGACGTAGTATACTTGAAATAGTGGCTCTGCAGCAGGTATACTCAACATTGAGAAACGGCCCGAATCACTCGTCGATATCTTGCCAATTATTTTATGGAAAGCGCTCCCTGCAGGTATAACAATGTTGGTGACATCAAGTAACAACTTAGGAATCATATAATTCATAAATTGTCAAAGTATTGATTTTATGTTTGCAGGAAATTATGATCAATCACCTGTCCACTAAAGTGGACGTCATGCATCACTGGCTATATTTCAACTACAATTCATACTGCTACTGTTGTTCTTGAAAATACTTCATTTGCAATATCTTTTTGGGCCGTAAATCAATATACTTATGTTATTATAATGTCATTTTAAATTTGCACATCTTTATTTATCATTTTTTCCAAATGTACACGTCTTCAGTTCAAACTTTAACGCATACTGTCCACCTGAGTGGACATATAAAAAAAAAATTCTAAATTTGAAAAAACTAGATCAAAACAAACTAAAGTTAAAATCTTGTTTTTCATGCCCCATGGGCAATAAAAACACTTGGTAAAAAAATCCTGGCTGAGGTTTTCATAATTCATGCATGAAAGTGTTTGGGCTACACCTAGGAATTTACTTAATTACATAGTAGGCTACATTATTTGAGTTACAGATGTTTTATTTTTATACGTGTTGTGCTTGAGTGTTGATTGTTGGCAGCATGTGTTGTTACGTGTGTTAAAAGACACTTTCCAGTGTGAATGGACAAAAGATGTTATCCTATTTAATGGTTTAGTTGTTAAAATAGCGGAAAAATGCAAATTATATGTTTTGAGAGCCCTAATGCGAGTTCTTTAAAAGTCTTCTTTTTGTTGGACCAATCATTTGAAATCATAGAAATATAGGTCAGCAGAAAAATGTCACGTTTTGGAGGTTGGAACCAGACTGATACTACATGCTACATATTGTATACTGTACAATAAAGTGTTGCTTATAAACTTTGGGATTTTAGCCTTTGCAGTCCATTTACATGCACTAAAACTAACACACTACAGGAAAGGGGAAACTCCAAAGAGCATAATAGGGCCTCTTTAATACTTCACTCATTTTTGGGTCAACACTTTAAATAAACACATGGAAGATGACATGGTGGGATACAAACTTTGGAAACCTTTGCTCCAAGGCAGAAAGTCAAACAATAAATAATCTCATGATCTCATAAAAGAGAAGGAAAGACAAATAGAGACACTTTGCAATCTTATGGACTCTTATTTTGAAAAGTCTTTGTAATAAGGCTAGTATATAACAGCTTAATTTATATAAGTGGATACTGTAAAAAAAAGGTGAAGCCTGTATCCTTTAACTGAGCTACTTTTTAGACCATTACCCTGCCAGGTTCCCCTGCTCGGAAACATGGAACAACTGTTACAAAATCATGGCATTAAAATATACTTAAAGTACCAAAAGTAAAAGTACTAATTATGCAGGTTGGCTGACTTCGGAATGATATATATTGTATGTTTTGATTATAAGTATTGATGCATTCATATGTTTATCAAAATGGTACTGGTGTAACTAATTTACACTAATTGGGGCTTAATCGAGGTGTATCTAAAGTATTTTTTAAGTGTTGATCATATTGTTTATCAGTAATCTTTATATGCAAAGAAATTAAAAGGTATTAAATAAATGTATTGGAGTACACTATTTACCTTTGAATTGCAGTGGGGTAGAATTACAAAGTAGCAGAAAATGGATATTTGAATTACAAGAACCTCAAAATTGTACTTAAGTACAGTACTTGAGTAAATGTACTAAGTTACTTTACACCACTGTATGTGGATTCTGGAAAGACTGTATCCTATTACTGAGCTACTTTTAGACCGTTACCCTGCCAGGCTCCCCTGCTGGGAAACATAGGAGAAACTCTCCTGAATTGAATGATTAATACCAATAAACACCAAGGTAAACACACGTAGGATTCATAACCGTGGATGAAACGGTAACTTTGTAACAGAAGAAGGTCATGGAACAGTCTCGCGCTACATTCGCTCTGCAGGCCTGCGGAAAGCTGTGGCCTTGACTCTTGTTTTTCCTCCATCATTCCTGCTCTTCCCCGGGTTACAAACTCACATGCAACACGGAAGAGTGGAGGTATATTACCTGTCCAGCCAAAACGTCCAAGGTGAGTGCAGAGGCAGCGTCGTCTCGTCGTCTTCTCGGTGTTTCTTTGTGATGTTTTCCAACTCTTTCTCGTCGATGTCAATGTTGTTTGCAGGGGAAACTGTCTGAGGGTCGCTCAGTGCGCCTCTGTCCCTCTGTAAGTCTGTCTGACCCTCTGGAACCGCCATTACAGCCGGTTAAAGGATATAACACTTTATTTAAAAGCTCCTGTGTGAATGTGTTTACTAAAATCACCCGGTTTGGCTTTAGCTGTAGATACCGAGCAGACACACCACCGCTTTTCCGCCTACCGACTGGTGACGTCTGTGCGTCACTGGGCAGAAACCACGCAGTTGGTCCAATCCAGAGAGCAGGAACAAATAAAGTGATGTCTCACTCTGTGTGTGTTTCTGGATTCTGACATGAAGCACAACATCTACAACAGAAGAGATAGTAAATATGGGCAAAGCAAATGTATTTATCATGGTATTTATATAGCACATTTCAACACAAGTCAATTCGAAGTGCTTTACCAAAAAAATCAAATAAACATTAAAAGCATTTCGATATAGTGTCACAGAAAGACGTTATAAAATTACTTTTAAATACATTTTAAAACCTGTCATTACAAGGCAGAGAGAATACAATGAAAATAAAGCAAGCTAAAATAGAACAAGTCAGATACAAAATACAAGAATAAAAGTAACAGTGCAGTGTAAGACATCATTATGTATTTGATTCCAATACATGAAATAGCTATTGAGCATATGAAACAGCTGTCATTAAAAAGATCAGCGTATGGAAGTGATGATGAAGGGGGAAACAGGTTTTGTTGTGTTTGCAACTGTGGCTTTAAAATGTAGGTTACTGTCACTCATTTAGGTTACCACACTTGCAATGCCACGCATTACTATAAACTGTGTAACTGAAGAGTGCAAACTGGATTTTGTATTATGCAGTCTGGGTTGTCATTAGATTCTGTGACATGGTGTAAATGTACCTTGTCTGTTTTTCAAATGCTTTACTTTATAATATTTGTGACTTTGCAGTAATGGTGCACTATCTCAACCACAAACACAGATATTGTAATCTATGAGGACTTCCTCGTTAAAAAAAGACAAATATATATCGTACAAAAGCCCAGACCAGTACCCTGTATATTCTCCCCAAGAAGTGGCTTCCTAAATATCAACATTTGCCTCAAATATCAGCCTTAAAATCTGTGTTACTTTGTTGACATGCTATTATACCTGTCATTGAACTTTATTCTTAAATAAAGCATTCATTTCCCACCATTTTGTGATGTTATTTCAATACTGAACATTACCCCCAGACTTTCTTTCAGTGTGAAACAGCTTCTATTGTCATGAGTGTCGTGGCCAGGAGGAACACTGTCTCGACGTCCGGCTGAAGCACTCAAGTCATACACGATAGTCTTCTTCAACAAGGAATGTATCACTACATTTGTCCACATAACACTTATTGTATTTTCTTTCTTTAGTTATCATTTATCATACCAGCAAAGCTGCAACACTTGAAGATCACAGCACACCTGCAACCACAACATCTGTTTCCATTTTAAAAGAAAAGTTGATCTGGAGCTCAGTTTCCATAGGGGGGCCTGAGGGGATAGACATTTTAAATTAGATTAGATATACTTTATTGATCCCACTTTGGGACAAGTAAAAATTTGATATAAAAAAACAAACATAAACAGTAAATATGTACTTACTTATCAATAGTAGAATGCACAAAACTGTAATAAATATACATATTTAAAGTGAATGATATATGCTTATATCTATAGTGTATCTGATCGACTGTACAATATCAATATATATAATTGACGTTGTTGTACACACAATGATAGGTCCAGCTAGAACTCTCATGTGAACACTAAATACTATTAAATTAAGTGTGCTAAGTAAATGCAGATTTTACATTTAATTTAAATGTACAAGGTACAGAGTGTGTTTGGGAATTGCACTAATCACACATTTTGTATAACCTTTGCCTCCATGTATATCTTCTAGATCTGCACCAAGTACTATGTAAGCATCAAGGAAATGGGCCCCCTTTTCTTAATTTTCTAGGAGTGAGGCATCCTCTCATTACACTACCTTCGGTCCCTCGACTCTTGTTGCCTGTTTCAGAGCACTATGGTGAAAGTGCTTTGCAAGCTCCAACAAGACAGCAGTTCTTTGGGCATTGAAGCACTCAGGTAACAAGATGTGAGTTTTTAAAGCTTCAGCAATCTAAATATCATCTGGCTGGATCTGTATTGTCAATGCACTGCACCAAACACTTTGTTTAACTTAAAGGTGGGGTAGGTAATTTTGGAGAAACCAGCTCGAGTGTGCTAGAATTTGAAAATACACAACCGGAAAAAATCTACCACTTCCTTACAGAGCCCCTCCTCCAACACACACGAACGCGCACATGACGAATGAGGGCACGAGATAAGTTTGTGCACAGATGGAAGGCTGACAGGCAGGTAGGCCATCCAGTTATTTTAGCCGGGCCGGCTAAAATGATTGGTCGTGCTTTTTACAGTACTACGGCTTCCACAGATGACATTTTTTTATGGATTTTTTGTCAAAGCACTTAAGATATTCATTGCTATCGGGATGTTGAGAGCATTCCATGGAATATAACAAAAAGTGTATCTCGAGCCGTTTTCTCAAACTTACCTACCCCACCTTTAACCACACTATAACATATAACGTAACAATTATGGTTTCACAAGCAGGACATTATCTTATGTAGTCCACTTTTAACCATCAATACTGCTACACCAAGAGCCCTATAAGTATAACATGTATTAGGATAGAGATTATGACTTATCCTGTTAGAAATGTACAGTAATAAAGCTATTTGAATTACTTGTTTAAAGTATTATTCAATACAAAGTGTTTCTAGGTATCAGAATTGGGCTGAGTATGGCTTGACCAGTGTGCCTAATTGTTAGTTGTAGACATAGACTATATTTTCCTGTAAGACAATATTGAGGGCTTAATTATTACATGAAAAATGCAGAAATCCTGAAAACATCCAATTAAACCAGACAGAACATCAATGCAACACTGTCAACCTGTTAAAAGTCCTTAAATATAACTGGAATTAAGATTATAGCAGATAAACAGAATGAACTATTTATTCTATATTTAATATTTGTATCCAAAGTGACGTAACTATACTTACCAACATTTTGATTAGCAACTGTATTCAACTACATATTTTACAATAATTAAAACAGATAACACTAACATTTATTTTGTACACATAACCAGCTTGAGTCTACACCTGCCCATTTGATAGTTGGACCCACTGATTCATGCAATGGAGTTACTAGGGTTTCGTATCAGTATGAACATCCTTTTTCCATTATTCATCTGGACTTCATTAGATCAGCTCTCCAGTGTGGTCACAGGATCATAAATCAAAACCTGACTAGGAATGGAAAGTGTTTCTAGGCATCAGACTTGAGCTGAGTATGGTGTGACCAATGTGGCTTCTGGTCAGCTATAGACAAAGCCAATATGTCCCTGTAAGACATCACTGAGGGCTTAATGCCAGATTTATCATGTGCTCCTGCTGCTCCTCGCCAGCAGGGGGAGCTGGAGACTCACTGCAGGTGCAGATCTGTCACATGGTGGCAACTGAGGTTCAAAGAACACAAGTTCTGCTGAGACCACCAATTAATTATTAACCTATAAACATATTTTAGATGTTTGGTTGTCTTTATCCTTGAAAGTCATATGTAGTAAGGCCAAGGAAAGAAGAAGAGACAGAAAGAGTGGTTTTCTCTTCTGAAAATGCAATTACTCTATTTGGTCTGTTTTTAAGTACGCTGGTCAAATCCTGTTCAATTTCTTTAAAAGGCATCACATAAAGCATTCTAAGTCAGAGTTAATTTTCTTCTGCTCTTCTGTCTTCTGAGACACCCCCGCTCGGTTATATCACTATTTACCTTATTTGAACCCACAGTGTTCACTCTGTCTGTGTCTGTTTGTGTTTTTCTTTGGTCATTTCATGTGTCTTTGGAGTTGTTCAATGTCCCTTTGTGGTCATTGTGTGTCTCTTAGTTGTTGTTTTATGTCTCCTTGTGGTCTTTGAATTTGTTTTTCTGTTAATCTTGTGTCCTTTTTTAGTTGTTCTGTGTCAAAATGTAGTCATTTTGTGTGACTTTTTATAGTTGTGTGTCTCTTGGTAGTTCTTTTGTGTCAGTTTGTGTGTATTTTGTGTCTCTTTGTAGTTGTTTTGTTTTACTGTGATCATATTGTGTCTTTATTGGCTTTGTATCACTTTGTCATTGTTTTGGTCTCTTTGTGTTTTTTTCTCTTTGAGTTATGCCTATATTTTCTAAGTTTTATTAAATAGATGTTCACATACAGTAGTGGTTCAAAATCAAGAGCTTATTGTGTTTCATGTTTTCTATTAATAATTAAGACTACACATTGACATTCATGAACAATAAAGTGACTCTTACTCCTTAAACTTCAATACAATAAAATATAAAACTATATTTCATAGTATTTCCCTAGCTGGTAGCCTATGATCAGATGTTTTGCGACGAAATCTGTCGACCTGTGCATGGAGACAGATTTCCTATAGATTGCATTATGAGCCTCTTGGCTGATCCCAGGCCTGCTCACTACATGCAGGAAGCGGACGTGCGTCGCATACAGTCTGCAGACGCTGAGAGAGATCCAGCGATGGACCCACACAGACGCTCCCAATCCTGCGAGCCTCGGATCCACTCTTTTCCTACTAACACGTTTGTTTTCCTAGGCTATATTTAACTCCTATCCTCCCTGCCTTTTAATGAGGCTTTGGATGCGTAATTGCGCCATGCTTCCGCTCAACACTGTCTGCTTTTTTATTCCCGGAGCCGAAAGGCAGCCCTCTGCCATCGAGAGGAGGCTGGGATGTGTTTTGTGAGCCGCTTGTCTGCTGAGCCTTGCGAGATGGTGTATAAAAACAAAACTAACCCGGGCTGCCTTTACTCAGCAGGGACTGGACCCACAGACAGGGACGCGTTATGTGCCGGACACTTGTGAGATGAAGGACAAGAAGAAGAAGAAAAAGAAATATTAGATGTTTTGTGTTTTGGAAGTGGGATGATCGGGATGGATGTTTATTTTGTTCATCATTTGCTGGATACTAACACTGAAGTGATGTGGGAATAATGTGCGAATACCCGACTTCGATGGCGAACACAAGTGAGTTGGGAGAGAGCAGCAGTCCGTCCTTCCACAACTATGCGTCCGCGGCCTCTGCGGTCAAGCTGGCCTCCCTGGGTCTGATCATGGGCATCAG